ATCAGAGGGGGCGTCGAATTCAAACCATGTGCAGATTTCCGAAAGCATTTTTTCGTGAACAGTGCCTTTAAGCTGCCTAGGCTGCCGAGAATGTTTGAGTATCGGTCGAAATATACCCTACTTCCCATGTTGAAAAAGTGGATGCATCTCTGCAAAATAGTACACTGGTGGCGGAGAAAGCGAGGAGATTCGATAAAATTCGAGAAATATAAGATTCTACCAGAAATAGGGAGAACGGGAAGTTGTATGGAACGGTTACCATGAAGGAAATGGTATGAAAGCGGTGTTCCACGAGATTTCAGCCGTTTAAAATCCTACACGAAGTCTTTTTCTGTTGCAGTAGATGTTCCGAAGTCATATGTTTCTGATTGTGCATGTAGTGCGTCTTCGATTTTTTTCAAAGAAAACAAAAACCATTCACAACCCTAGGGAAGTTTCCCTGACTATCCGATGAATTAATTATATGATCAAACCGCTTACCCTATTTAGGAGCAATCTGATGAGAGCGTTTCACTAAAACTTGTTTGATTTGCTAATGACAGTCACTACCTAACAATAGCTAACAACGGCTGGCTCTTCCACCTACTTCCTATGTATATTTCCTATGTACATTTCCTCTCAAATCTTTGTACTCTTTGAAGTTATAACCAATTGATAAATAATCGACTAAAACTTTAACGTAGGTGGAAGTCTCATTGAAAGAAGTCGTGGAATCGTGTTTACGTATTCTTCAAATGGCTGCTTTTATAGTCCGGGAGCGGCCCTTGTTCCTTGTTTACAACTGAATCTTGGCCGATACCGCAGGCCGAGTAACACCCGACCGGCCCGCGCTCGCTCATCGCTCGCGGGCCGGCCGACGGACTAAGAAAGCGGCTAGTGCGAGTCCTCTTCGTGTTGTTGGCATCGTATGGGTTGGGGAGCGCACCTATACGTACCTAGTGACTAGTAGCTAACTATGAGCACTCTCAAAAACACAGAAATGGTTGGTGTATGTTTCGGTCACAGAACGTTAACCAATCTCAGAGCTGTGCTTGGGTGCTGAATGCTAAGCCATTTACACCGTCATATGTGAGTAGTTTGTTTTATTTTCAGTCTGCTCATTGCCTGTACTTCGAGGACCATGCCAAAGAATTCCTGTCAGTGAACTCACTATCTATCGACTAATCGGTTTTTTATGGAAAGATTTGTTATGCAGTGACCGTTGCTTTATGGTTTCAGTAAGTTGGACGTTTCCTCTCTGGCCTGAGCTTTCATCTTGTTTTATTACGGTAATTTGAGTTGATCAATGGTTCCGATCAATACCGTTTTATCGATCTGATACATGCTCATATAAGAGTACTTGAACTGCTTGACAGGTTTCATAGTCAGAAATGTAGTCCCTGCGTGTTGTTGATGTTTATGTTTTTTCGTAAATTGGCTGTGCTTGACTGCAATTTCGTTTACAGTGAGCATATGAATGATGGTATTACCTTAAAATTCCGTCGATAAGAACGGTTCAATGTTGCAATTTCCCAGTCGTCATCATCATCTATACCTATACAGGAAAAATTGTTCCCAAGCTGGCGGAACAGGGTCATAACGCCTAAAGTCGTAGTCCTGATTAGGGACTTACTTCGGACCTTGTAACCCTGGTCTCCCAGTTCAAAATTTACTCCCGCTCTTAACTATGAAATTCAGTGTGCTTGGTTAACTTAACTGTCTATGAGTTAAATAGCTGTGGGATGAACATAAAGTTAAGGTGTTCATGAAATAAAAATATTGGTTTTTGTGTACATTTTTGAAAGTGTCATGTTGTTCATTCTTGTATATTTATCATCTTCGCACAGGAGAAATTCAAGCGTTCCGCGTTGAAATTTTCGCTCCGCCCCTTCCACGTTTTTTCTGGCCGGCACTTATTCGTGTAGGTACTCATTCCCCTAGTTAAGGGAACATTGTTCCGTTAATGGTTAGAATTAAACAAGTAGGTTTTGAATAAATGAATTGTCAGAAAGTAAATGAATTATAAATAAATAGATGAGAAGCGATCGTTTTCTGAGATACAGACAAAATAGAAGATGGAAGTGAAAAATGCGAAAAACATTTCCCTTTGAGAAAAAGTATGGTGGTACTTAAAAAAGCACTAAACTCATAGGATTTCACTTGGCTTGAGATAAAACAGCTTTATGCTGTGAAAAAAAGTAGTAGGGTACCTTCAAGTGGCAGCCAAGCATATCTACATGGAGCGTGAAAAGCTGGGCAAGAACTCCTTAGCCGAGTGGTCCAGTGATGAGGTTCCCGCTCGCTTAGGGTCCCGACATCGATTCCCCACTTCGGCAAATTTTCGTAATTTCGCTTAGCTCAACTCCTGTGAAAAAACAGGCTGGTAGTCTTCTCAGTATCTAGTCTTCTTGTAGGAGGCTCTTTTAATTTGTTCGGGTCGGGCAGCCGGCTGTGCGTAGTAGGAATAACGCTGACGTACTGAAAACGTTAAGCGGGCATCAAAACAGTTCAATGTAGAAATGATCTCTTGAGATTTGCCAAATCTTTGAACACAAACCAATACACCTCCATTAGGCTTATTTCTACATGGCGTAATTTAACTATGAAACAATTCTCTGCACGCGTTGCTTATACACCTGCAATGCCGATCGACAGCTCTTTGCTCATTGCATGAAGCGAACTGTAAACCCATCGATTATTTGTTTACTACAAATACTCCTCTGACTAAGGGACTCACCTACAATTTGAGCGAAAATCACATTGACCGTAGAAGTGAATTCTTTTGGAATATAACAATGAATACAACACTGAAGGTCCGATTCTTTCACCAAAAAACGACATCCTCCTGGCTGAAAAGCGTTTCTGAGCACCATTACGTGAGCTGCTTGCATGGTCCGCGATCCTGCCCGCGAGCGAGCGAGCGAGCACGCCTGTCGGGGAACTACTCGGCCGGCGGTATCGACCAAGTTTCGTTGTAAACAAGGGGGAAGCNCACGGACTATGGAAGCAGCCATGCAAGGGAAGCCGGCTACCCCTACTTCAGTGCCACGCTCCAGCGCTCAGTGCTAGCAACAGAGGGTGTCCTTCCTCTGAATACATTTTCACCCTATTTTAGACTAATCTATCAAAAGAAGTCAGCATTACTTCAAGGCTCGATAGCAAGGAAACAGTTGTTCCATCCGTTTTCTGTATTTTACTTGCCTATCTGGTTCTTTTTTTCAACAAAAGGAAGAATAACTAACAAAGTGTGGGGGCTGTTTTAACGCCTACGACAGTTAATAGGACCAATAAATCGGAACGGATCCATACACCAAACAAACACCTTGCCGTTTTTCCAACGTTGTCTAGACCCACAATAATGACATAGTAATCCCGTTTTCTGAAAACCTTTTCCCACAACCAGCTGCGAGCGTATACACAGGAATGGTACTTGTATTTATTTAATTTTTGCTAACGAGCGAGCTTCATAGTATAGGATAAAACAGCTGAGCAACGACTTATCTATGCAAAATTTTCACTAAATAGTATATTCCATCTTTTTCCGCTTCTACAAATACGGATTACTAGAAGGCAATCGAAATTCAAGATTAAATCATCAGAAACATCAACACCCAACGTGTGGGCTTGTGTGCATGGACGTCACCCCGCAGTCTCGGACGAGTTGCCCGCCTATGAATTCCTTAGAGTGTTGTCGTCCACGGCGGTATTTTCAACATTCAAATTGTGCATTTGTCTGTTGATGATCGTCTTAATCTTTTGAACGGTTGTTTTTAGACATTATTTACTCATATGCACCTTTATAATCCTTTCTTCTTGCATTCTTTCCATCTAATTTATGTTACTAAACTTTGCGAGGACGATATTCGTATTTCCTCTTAGCTCTGAATTGACTTGAAAACTGGAAACGTGCACCCGGTTTTCACAGTAACTACGGGTACTTAATATGATGTGCTTTAGGGTCGAATTGGAACCATATCTAATCCGATTTACGCAGTGTGATATATGCCAAACAACCAGAGCCCGTAATTTTCGTTCAGTCCACAACGACGATGCCTCAAGTATATGTGTGAGGTTTGTTGATTCCTGATCTTGTCCTCCAAACTTACCAACATTTGGTAGCATTTGCAGTCGTGCTGGCAACATGCGCACGTCGACCTTAACAATAATAACGAACACCGTCCTATGGTTCGCTCGCCGCCTGTTCGAGCTCGCTTTACAACGAACAACCCTTCAATGCAAAAAGAGTACGTTCTCATTTACCGTTCACTGCTTCGAATTAGCCGACCTCATTTTCTTATCTCAACGCCTTGTTATTGCTATTTATTAAAGCAGCGTCAGGAATTTTAGACTTTCAGACGGGAAGCTTCAAGTGGGTATTCAACTCGAATAAGGCTGAAAATTGTGAAAAAACCGAGGTTCACGAATTTGTGAGTTCATTAAGAAGAGAAATGTAGATGGTTGTAGTTCAAATAGTTTTTTTTAGAAGATCCTTTTTCAAAAGTACTTCTTGAGGTACCGTCTAGTTAACTCACTTCCCATAACTCCAATTTCGCTGCTCGAATCGATGATGTGGGTAGGCGAAATGCTTTTTTAGGTTTGTATTATCATTGGATCATTGTATTCGTTTCCATTGAATCGGAAATTCTTGCTGGGCGATGTTGAATGTGGCGTATACATAAATGAAAATTCATTGCTCCCGAACCCACTAAATATTTGACGTAGTTTTTCATTTTTTTGTTCCAGTACGACACCAACGTCTTGTAATATGTGGAGGCGGTGCTTGACTTTTTCCACTCTCTGCAATCAGCCCTCACAAGTATATCTCGCTCATCGCCATCACAAAGAGTCATCAGAATTTTCCTCTGGCTGGTTGGTAATGTCTGTGGTGCCGTCTCGAGTGCATGAGCTTGTTTGTTACCGAGCTAGATGAGCGTGAATTTCAGATGTTGAGAATTCCTTGTATGTTCACAGATGGGAAATTTCCTTTTTAACAATGCTATATACCAGAGGTGCTGAAGGTAGTAAACTAATGAAGCAAGCAAGGGTTGACTATAAACTCATCACTTACCTCCTTCGCCTTCTCCCTGACATCATGCTCCGCCGCCGCAGGGTCTGCTAATCCTGTTGATCGTTTCCACTTCCATCTAGGTATCTTCTGCCGTTACTTTCGATTCGGCGAGGTCTTTCTTTGTCACGTCCTGCCATCTCTTCTTTGGAACTCCTCGTGCCTCCCTTTAACCTCGAACTCCATTGCCTCCCCTATTCGATGGTTCGGCGGTCTTCTCAGCTCGTGTCCGTACCATCGTAGACGCTGCTCTCTCATCTTCAGCTGGACAGGGCTGTTCTAATTAACGCTCTGGCGTCTTCTTTTCTGATGCTCATCACTTATCTGTTCACCACTCCTTTTTGGAGCACCTTCGATCGTAAAGGTTACAGAGGACTGCTTCCACTTCATCCATGCAGCGTTTATTCGGGCTTTCGTAGCCTAGTCCGCGCTACCACGAACGGCTCATCAGTATCGGAAGTCCTGAAGTGATGAACTTGGTCTTTTCACATCAAGGTGGAGCCCATATGTCAGACTTTCTGCCATTTCTGCAGCTTGTCCAGGAGTTTTTCTCTGCTCTCCGCTATCAGAGCGATCATCCAGTCAATCATTGTATAGTCCTCATGGCCCATCCAAGAGTCCGCTTGCGATGACATCCAGTGTAAGTAGGAAGAGAAACGAGCTCAGAGCTGGTCCCTGGTGTACCCCAACCGTGACGTCTATTGCTTCGGTTAGACCGATCGGTGAGGTTCTATTTTTTGGCGGGATATCTGTCGGAAGCTCGACTTTGGTTGATCGTTACTGCTGACAGTTGTGAATGTCTCCTTTTTTATTATTCGGATTTGTCGGCAGAGATAATGGAAGGTATTAATTAACCCATCTGGTCGCAACTTCGTTTGATTTGGTGGTACTTCTTTGACCCGTCAATTTTGTAGCGGAATATTGACCATTTTTCCGCACGATGGATGGGACGAGCGGGGTACATCGACTACCGGCTGGGATCGTGAACTTTGTTCCCGTCACGTCGATTTCTGTTCTCTCACTCCTAATCTTGCTTGCTAAAAATCCTTCATTTATGTCGATCTTATCGTTTATGACTAATCCAGTAGAACAGTTTTGCATCGAAATTTTACATACAAGACTGGAATTATGACTTATCGGTCTATTCTTCATCATCCTTTCATTAATCATTGAAACTTTCACAGTATTTTTCATTTCTCATTAATTTCCGTACTTGAGCGAGCTTCACAATAAAACCACTCTGCAGGTCTCGGTCGAGGGCTTGTCGGTGGCTGTTTCTTAGGACAACACCATGCGATGGGAGCTATGCTGCAGAGAACAAGACCAGGATCTTTGGCTGAGCCACGCTTCACAGTTTTTTTTTTGTGCTGCTTTCATAGTTCGGCCCGGTCGCTAAGGAACTCCATAGAAGTTCGTAGTCTGGAAAAATCTTGCTTACCTCTTACCGTTTCGCCAAATTTGAAGTAATCGTGCGGGAAGAAATATGAACGCAGCTTTGACACCTTTTTTTATAAATTTTTTTTTATTTTCGAATAAAAGGGTTGGAGGCGAATTTTGGCGAGGCTCAGCGCTTTCCTCATCCATGGGCTTAGGTCGCAACATTTCATCTCCAAGGCATTGTTCACGATAGCTTCAAGGTTTTTCTTCTGGAGGAATAAGGGAAGGGACTGCAATAACAGTTATTCAGTTACTGCGTCTCGAAAGGCGGTGGAGAGCCATCCCGACTTTTTTTCGGATCTTCACGACAGCCTGGTCTATATGCCTATCTACTGTTTAAAGCTGCGGACATATCGCTCCTTTGATTCTCCCTTCCGAAATTCGACATGCCACCATCCGATGAAGAATTATATGGCGCCTAGTCCCGGTAGGATCAAACCAAAACATCTAGAGAGCCTTCCACCACATATCGTCAAAACTCTAGATGGAATACTCTTCTTCTGTCAGATTGCAATGTGCCCACGTAGTGGAAAACTAGCAAGGATGTGTTGCTGTACAAGAAAGAGATTGGCAATCATCGACCAATCTGCCTGCTGCCTGTAGTCTAGAAGCTTTTTACCCTCGTCATCCTCTACAGGATGAGCAAAATATTAGATGAAGGACACTCAGGAGCAAGCAGGATTCCGAAGAGGGTTTAGTACAACCGGTAACATCCACGCAGTTACAAGACTCACTGAAGTATGCGAGAATGCGTGATGCCGTTAAGCGTAATGGCCTTCGAGGGCGATCTACTGGGCCACTCTGGCTCATGAAAGGGAGGTGTGGAGACGGTACCAACACCCGCTCGAGGAGATCGATTATCAGTCGGATGACAGGTGGTACAACAATGGAACTGATAGTCCAAGAAAGGACAGCAAAGACGAGAAAACGCGAAAATCGACGTATTTGATAAATATAAGGCTTTAGAAAAGTAGTAAAGTCGGAGGTTATATGAGAATAAAGCGAAAAGTTGCATGGAAGGCCCGTTGAAATGTGTACTCTACGGGCGCACAGCTGGCTCCAGTAAGCTGCCTCCTGCAACGTGTGTCTCCCGGTGCTTATGGTACAATCTCTACAGCCTTTTATGCTTTGAGAACTCATCTCCGCCTTTGGGTTTGGATGTCAACTAAGCTGATTTTTAGCTCTTATTATGCCCTATCTGAGATGTTTTCGTCCGTTTTGATCCTAAAGGTCACAGGTTCATCCAATGGAGAAATCTCAGAAACCATTTTGATCGTGAACCATGCTTTTGAAGAAGTGCGCTGGGTCCTGCCAAGATTGGACGCCAACTCGATTTATGCCGAACCCACATTTTCAGATGGTGTTCCGTCAATACTATTCACCAGACAATTCTCGATATCGTGCTCGACTCTCCCATTGGTTCGTGAGACGGCTGGTTGTGGGCGATCTACGCGCTAGACAGAAGGATCTACTGGTGGCGCAGTATTCTGTGCCAAGTGAGTAAGATGATAATTCGATCTGAGATGAGCTTCCTTAATAGGAGATTTCGTCAGTGAGGAAAGCTGTTTTCAAACATTCTACCGACTTACATTCCTTCCAGATCAGGAACTCTTGGCCGATTATTGAAGCGTCAAGAGTACAGCTGTGGGCGCCAAGGAAGGAGGGGTTTATAAGGTAAGACCCTTTTCACTTTAAACGCATCGTGAAAGGTACTTATTGACCTTTGCCCAACTTCTATTAGTATATCGACTGGCGAGCCTTAAGTAGGCTCGCAGAACTTACCCTTGCCAATAAGGCTTAATAGTGATAGTCCTGCTTCATTTGCAGTGCTTCTAACCATATCAATGAATCATGTGTCATGTTGCATATGGTCGTCAATTTTTCCGGAGCACAGCAAACGATTCTTTTGAATGCTTCCTAGGATGGTCCCGACTGGTTCCAAAGGTTAGTTACCATTCAGCGCGTTTCACAGTGCTGGTTTCCTCATTTAATTCTACTTAGGTTGTTGCTGGCTGTGCTTCGTTTAAGTAGAAGCGGATTCCGGATCATAGGCTGCATTCTGGCCTTGAAAAAAGCTCTACATTTCTAACGTCACAGTAATTCGGATGAGCGTAGGGAAATGACGGGACCTCTCCGGATCGCCGCCAACTCGAAATGGTGAGATGATCAAGCTTCTATTAAGCAGGAAAACGTTTTTCAACTTGACAGTTCTCCCATGTCTGTAGAGCGGAGACAGGTAATCGCTTGGCTAATTGCGCTGCATCGTCTTCAGGCATCAGTGGCAGGACCTTCAGCCGGATCCCATCACTAGCAACTTGTAGGGAATTTTTGTTTCCATATCCAAATGCCGTTCGCATTCATTTATGTTCTGGTCGGCGACTTCTTGCAATGGGCGATCTGTTTTCTGTGCTATGACGACTGCTCGACCGTAGCATCTCACGCATTGAACACCGTCGCGGAAGGGAATGATTGTACTTTCGGAAATCAGTATGCCCTCCACGATAGTGAGCTTCACCTCTCATCAGGCAGGCATTCCAAGAACATTCAGTTGGTCCGCACCCTCCTAAAACTGTGCATGGGTATCGCATTAAGGGACGAACTTACCAATTAGTTCCATATCAAAATTACTGGACCCATGTCAGCTCTTTTTCCTTCAACCTCTTCGTTATGCAGAGGAAGCCGAGTTATAATAGAAGAGGAATGAGAGAGTTAGAGAAGTAGAGTCGCTCATTAGTTACTGAGCCTCATTCAGGTCACCGTCCCGTCGGGTACAACGACGTCACGTTACCTATCCTGTCGATGCGCGATCCAATCGGGGATCAGGGGTGGGTTTTATGATCACGTATCGTACACTATTGCGTCTGTTCTTATCGTGGTAGATTTAGGTAGGCCTCATCGTCACGTCGTTCTACCCTTCGTCATCGAATCAACGTCATCCAGTTCGAGAAAGCACATTATATGAGATGTGTGAGAATCACCGGCTGATGGGAGCGGTCGCCCACCAACCAAGGTACTGTCAACTTCTGCTCTGGTTGGAATAAAATCTTACTGTTTTCCGTGTAAGCATGTTCTTAAGTTAACCAGGTTCAGGTCACCGTTCTATCGTCTGCGGACGTGAAGTCACCTTCCAATTATGGGTGATCCGGACTGGGATCGAGGGTGAGTAAACTTGTCATGAATTATTGCTTCACTCTTTTGAGTCTATTTACTCATCTTAGTGAATTTAGATAGGTTTCATCGTCCGCGGTACACAACCCTCCATTATCTATTCAACTCCACCCAAAATGCACTTTCACATCTAACGGGCTGCACCCGGCTGTAAGGAAAGGAAAATGTAATATCTGGTTACAGGGGCCATGGTTTTAAATCTGAGGTGAGATTAAATTTATTTACTTCAATTGAATCGATAAGTATTTGTGATCGAAATATTCTTGTGAGAGGTTTTGGGGTCAGGGGCTATTAAATCAGCAGATTATCGTTTCGACGCAACCTTCTTCCTCGGAGGCCCTATTGTAACTAGAGATAATTTGTACTGTAATCGAAAAATGCATTTTCTCTTTTGGCTAATGTGACGGCACATTCAAAACCTTTAATTTGAAGCATTACTCACTATGGTTCCTGCTAAACCTTGTTCAGATCGCTGCTATATACACCTTGTCCAGCGACAAGCAATCGGCTTTTCCGCCAATGATCCGATTGGGGATCGAGGTATACCCGGTTAGATATGTTACATCGTCCTCCGTTATCTATTTACTTATGATAGCAGATTTAGATAGGCCTCATCGCACGCGATGGAATCTTTCGTCAGTCGCCCGAAGCCAAGGTAAGGTACTACACTTTGGTAGGACTTAATGTTTTTTGTTTTCCGTATATGGGATACCCATACTCATTGTACTTTTCTTTGTCAAGGTTCCCCATTTCTTGTTGTTTAAATAATCTCCGCATCTATCTACTTTTGTTTACTTCGCTTCATAAAAATCACCTCAGCTGGTCTCCGTTTCATATTACTTTCATTGTTTTCTTCTCTATATCTTGTAACTTTGAGGAGAAACTTCTCTCGCTCCCATCGGTACTTTCGTTTTGCTTTTCTTTACATTCCCTTACTATTTCATTTTCTTCACTTCGCCATCGTGTTCCCATCCTTTTTTTGTTCTCTCTACTTTTTTGTTTTACTTTTTCTATTGCAGTTGTTCATATTGTGTTATTCTATCTCGCACTAGGGAATCTCCTTGTAGCGCGTTTATGGGGAATTTAGAAATTTTTGATAGTCACCGCATATGTGCTCGCTTAAACAGAAAAAGATGCTGTTTGGTGATCAATTCGTGAAGTGAGAAGTCCAAGAGACTTTTGGGAGGCTGACTTCAAGAGACAAGCACTTTCCCAGTAAGCGAAGGCGGTGATTTATAGAGGCAATACTGACTACGATATTTCTAAGCTTGCAAAGTCTGTTGAAAAATTGCAAATTACAAAAATACTGCTATGCAAAAAATTAGAAACTGCAGTAACAGAAAAATCTCTTTCATGTTTTCAAATGTTTGAACGCTTTACATTTAAACGCTTCCTCTCGCCCTGTCAACTCTTTTCTGGAACGTAGCATAATTGTCTATTTGGCCTTCCTGCAATCTTGTCATGATTATATAATAGGGATGCTTCTCCAAGCCTTTCAGGATTGAAGACCGAAATTCTTTATTAGGCAAAGGTTTCGGCTACTTCGCCTTCGTCAGAGCCTGAAATGGTCCAGACCACCTATACTTACAAATAGCTTGCTCCCCCCTACACCTCAACTCGAGAATCTTAACTTGGTCTGCTCAATTTTCAAAGGTATAGGTCGAAAGGGCTTGGGACTACTGCTAGCAACGACTTTAAGTTTGCTATTCCTGTTGAAGAACTTTGGAGTCCCTGTTGAGGCGTTTAAGCGAGCAAGCTATATATGCTTTAGACTATTTCAAGCTCAGACAAAGACGAAGCAGTCGTAACGTTGGCCTAATTAAGAACTTCAATCCTGTAAAGTTCGAAAAAGCATCCCAACGTACCACCACTACTATATAACGAATGCTTCAGTTTCGCATCTTCAGAGAGTTGCCATCGTTTCGAAATGGTTGTTACTGTGACTCATTTCAACCCAACACTGGAAACACGTCGATATCGAGGAAAGTGGTTTTGGGCGGCTGACTAACGGCGGCCAGTTCGATTTCGTCGGCGGTTCGGCCTAAGGAAGAAGTGAGTTCCTCTGACTTTTTGATTTACACGAAACTCCTTGAACTTACATTTTGCAGATGCCTCTCTTCGAAAGAAGTTGATCCAGTACTGGACGTCACCGTCGGATTTTTTTTAGTGTTGAGGTAGCTGTTAGGCTTGGGCGCTTTGATAGAAACTTTTTGTTTTTTTTTTTCGTAGTCATTCATATTCTTTCGGCATCTACTACCCTCTTAGTTATTTTTTGTTGTTCTTACTGTTCTGATTGTTAGTAGCTCCTTAGGCTTGTTTTTGTGGTTATTTTTACTTTTTTAATAGGTATTTGGTATTCGGTAGTAACTCTAACTCCCCAGCGTCTAACTGTGCATCAAACTGCTTAGGGCTTTTTGGATAGTAGTATTCTAGTAGTTTGGAGTTCCTTGTTGTCATTAACTTATCCGAGTTTGATAACGCGAATCTATCGTAACCATCGGATGATCACATTCTAAAAGGGATATACTGGCATTTTGGCAACTAAACATTATGCCTTACCAACTTTCAAAGCTTTAGGTTTTTACCCGAATACATTCAGCAAAATCCCTTATTTAAGTCACTTTAAAAATGTTACTTTTTTTGCTTCATCATGGCGACTCGTTAGAAATTGTTGGGTTTTTGTGCGTAATTGGGTATTACCACTGATAACTTGAAATACAAATTTTCTCAGCGAAAGGGAAGGGGAATATTTTGGTTCTCATCATTTTCTCCACATTCGGGGGAATTTTTTCTTGACTTTCCGTCTCGTATGTATCCTATGGGAACCAAATCAAACACAGGGTATGTTTTTCCTACGTTGGGATTCTTGGTGAAGGGGACTTGCAATCACTGCAAAATATGTCTCCCGTTCAATAATAAGGCTGGCAAATTTTCAATTTTTTCGGGCTTCTGATTTATAAAAGACCAAATTTTTCATGTTTTTTTTCTTTCAAAGGCGTTTCCTCACCATGTAGTCACAATTGATCGGGGGCTTCGTTATTCTCCTTTATTTTTTCGATTCTGGGGGTATTTTTCAATTTGCTTTTTTAACACAGTGGTGTGGATCCATGTTTCTCTTTGAAACTAAGTATGTTTAGTATGACTTTTATTTCATTTCTTACAAATAGCAGTTATGTCCCTTTGAGACGTGATATTCTGTGATTACGATAGAACAATGAGTTATTAAAACTCGGTTAGGAAATGATGACTTAGGAATACGCGCAAGGGGCAGGGAGTCGTTCAAAAATAGTTTATGCGCCCAAGCCTATCAGCCCCCTCGGTGTACCCACCCTAAGTTGTCCCCCTCAGAAGGGCGTGTCCCTTCTGAAGAATTTCACCCTTCCGCAATGAATCCCCACGCATTGTTTCCTGCCGTCGGATTCGACTCACGAGGTCTACGGAAGGAAGAGCCTTGGAATGTTGGGAGTTTCGTTATGTGTCGTCCGTCCATCCAACGCCCTGGAACGACTCATTGGCCACTGACACTTGCAGCAGTTGTACCCATGGATCAGTGACTTCAGGAAGGAACGGCACGCAAAACCGGACATGCACGCCGGTCCTGCGGACAAGAGTGGATAGGGTATTCGTGCTCATCTGACCACACTATCGTTTTCCGTTGATTTTTCGCGGCATTGACAATCACTACGTGCACTCGATATCGACTTTCCAAGTGCGAGACGGAAGGGCAGGTTGGAGCATTCAATCTACAATTCCAGCACAGCAAACGCACAGCATTCAGCGAGATTTCTGGCGAAGTATTCTACTGCTTGACTGAAGGTAAGCGATGAAGTATCGGTGAGATAGTTAATCTTTGAGTCTGTAGTGACAGCACTGAGCTTAGTTGCATACTCTGATCCATTTTACTTGTTCTTGATAGCAGTCAATAGTGGGGTGTTTGTGAAGTGGGGGGCTGTTCTTGGAGGCACAGCATGCGATAAGTTAGGGCCTTTTTTTTAGGTAAGGGGATAGGTATGGATGCTGATTAGTTCTAAGCGGAGAAAACCCGCGGAATTCACGAAAAATAAATGTCCCTAAATGTCGAAGTAGGTTGTCCCACTGAGGGTCTAAGGAGGGGTATTCGGGCGAAATTTCGGTAGGGTAGGATGGTATAAAGGGCTGGCTAACAGTGGGCGAAGACGTTGAAAAACCCTTTACTGTCGTCATGGACCATCGCCTTATTACACCCTGTTCAGCCTCTACCGAACAACGGTCCATGGGTTATCCTCGGAAGGGAGGGTTCAATCCAAGTAGGGAATCTCAGTAATCATTATTATCGTGGACTGTGCCTTTGAAGGGAT